AAAAGACCTACTAGACGACTACCCCCCCCACGACCCCCGAAATCGACTGCGTACACGCGCGCGTCTCCTCCATTCCGTCCCTCCGCCTCTCGCGCTTCACCGAACTCAAACGGCTCTGTCTGCGGCAAAACACCATTTCGAAAATCGAAGACCTGCCTGGGACACTGACGGAGCTAGATCTCTACGACAACTTAATCGCGCACATAAAAAACCTCGAGCACATCACTGCGCTCACCAGTCTGGATCTGAGCTTCAACAAGATCAAACACATCAAGAACCTCTCTGCGCTCATAAACCTCACCGACCTATATTTCGTGCAGAATAAAATCGCTACTATTGAGGGACTAGAGGGCCTCTCGAAGCTGAGGAATCTGGAGTTGGCTGCGAATCGTATTCGGGAGGTTGGTGGGGGACTGGAGGGCTTGGAGGGCTTGGAGGAGTTGTGGTTGGGGAAGAATAAGATTACGGAGATTAACGGGTTGGGAGGGTTGCAGAAGCTTAAGATTTTGAGTATACAGTCGAATCGCATCCGGGAGATAACTGGGTTGAGTTCGCTGCCACATTTGCAGGAACTGTATATCTCGCACAACGCCCTTACGTCTCTGCACGGATTGGAGAAATGTAAGGAGTTGAAGGTGCTGGATATCAGTAATAATCAGATTGAGAGGTTAGAGGGGTTGGAGGGGTTGGAGGAGCTGGAGGAGGTGTGGGCGAGCTATAATAAAATTGGGGATTTTAATGAAGTGGAGAAGGTATTGGGTGGGAAGAAGGGGTTGAATACGGTGTATTTTGAGGGCAATCCGTTGCAATTGAGGGGGCCCGCCGTTTATAGGAATAAGGTCAAGTTGGCGCTGCCGCAGGTTATGCAGATTGATGCTACGTTTGTGAGGGTGTCATAGATGAAGGGGTCAGAATGATGGGATGATGGGATGAACAATACATATTTGGGCGTAGGCCGGCGTTATGAGAAATGCTCTGCGAAGAGATTGCATTGATACATATCATAAATAGCATGCAATTCATCTATCTTGATTTTCTTTTACACTGTAGTCTATAGAGGGGAGTATGTACGTAAAACGTAGTTCGAAGCTGGTCTCAACTTACTTGCTAAGCAAGAGACCAAAGCCTGTCCAACCTCTGACTCCATGGGGAGTACATACATATCCATACCTAAGCAAAGATATGAAGTGTTCCTAAGTACTACGAGAAACTGGTCAGCACATCTTCCTTGTCCGCAGCTTATAGGGAGGGAGACTTACATCGGTAGGGTTATTGAACCTAAGATGCCTATCCAAAGCACTAATAGACTCCAACTCGCCCTTCTCCAAATCAAACCCCGTAACCTCCAGATTCTGCTTCAACCGATCCGCATTATTGCTCTTCGGGATAACAGCCAACCCCCGCTGCGTCGCCCACCTCAACAAGACCTGCGCCGGCGTCTTGCCATACTTCGCCGCCAGTCCCGTCACAACACCATGCTCAAACAACACCGGCGTATCATGCGCCTTCTTCCAATCCAGCTCGATAAACGACTGCGGCCCAAACGACGAGTACGCCGTCACCGCAATGCCCTCGCTCGCCGCCAGCTGCAACAGCGTCGGCTGCACTAGGTACGGATGGTGTTCTATCTGCAGCGTCGCGGGCCGGATCCTGGCGTACCGCAGCAGATCGAGGATCAGCGAGCCCTGGAAATTCGAGATCCCGATACTGCGCGCCAGTCCCGCATCGACCAGCGTCTCCATCGCCGTCCACGTCGACTGAATCGTGGCGTTACTCAGGTGCACCTTGCCGTCTGTGCCAGTCCACCCTGGCGGATACGCGACTGCGGGATCGACGTATTTCAACGCGACGGGGAAGTGTATGATGTACAGGTCGAAATAGTCGATTCCCCAGTCTGCGAGCTGCTTCTTGGCAATGGGTAGTACGCGCTCAGCGTCGTGGAAGGAGTTCCAGAGCTTGGAGACGAGGAAGAGCTCGGAGCGCTTGACGAGACCGTCTTTGATGGCTCGCGCGACGCCTTGGCCGGCTTCTTTTTCGTTGCCGTAGTCTGGGTGCGGGGAGAGGAGTTAGATTGGGATGTTTGTAGGAAGGGGGGAAGCATACCACATGCTCCGTCGAAGAGTCGGTAGCCTACTTTGATGGCGTTGTAGACGGTGTCGGCGCATGTTGCATTGTCGACTTTCCATAGCCCGAAGCCAACCTGTGGCATCTCGTGTCCATTGTTAAGCTTGATAGTTGCCATTCTTGCGGTTGTTTAGAATGTGCAGGTTGCAGAGGTTGAGTTTTCGAGACGGGAAGAAAGATGTGAGGAGGGGTCATTGACAAGAGGAAGTGGGGTTGGCGGGGTGGGGTGGGATGAGGTGATTGAAGGCGCGGTATTTAAAATCGGTTCCTCCCCTCCCATGCCCTCCAAGTGCTTCTAGAGACTTTTACCGGTAATGAGTAGGAGATGCTAAATACAGAGTTTTCATGTAAATCCTTTTGAGTTCATTTGCATGAATCTCTTACGGAGAGGAGACTAATACACACATTCACAGTTCTGCCAAATAGAACGCATATCAGCTTCCTTTCTTACACTACCTGACCTAGGTATGTCGGTGTGTAGCAAATCAAGTATCATCGTATCTTCCGGTTGTCTAGTACTTGGTAAAATGAAGAGTCTGGAACTTTTTTCTTCACTTTTCGTTCCCATCATCAACCCACTGGATATGGATGTGGAGCATTTTAAGGTGGTCCCTCGAGATGTTATTTAGGCTAGCTGGCTGTATCGCTGTATAGTGGTGGCTAGAGAGGGATTTGGGAATCAGAGCTTTATTTCCAAGACCTGGAGGTCATCATTTCGGCCAGCCTTCAATTCTGGCATTACTCGTCCCGTTTACAAGTCTTAATATTACCAACAATGTTTAGCACTCTGCGTGCCTCATTGTTCATTGTTAAAGTCGTTTTTTTACGTTTGCAGTCTTCGATCATTTTGTATACCTTTGTCTGTGTTTGAAAACTGCCTTTGAGGTTCTGGTCACAAAGATGGGACCTTATGACCACGAATCTTTTTCCCCATCTACGTCTACTTCTTCCCTGTGGGTACGACTGTTTTATTTTCCCGCTCAGTACTGTATTCGTCTAGCACTCCGAGGTTTAAATCCGGAAATTCATTCAATATATCTTCCCCTCCTGAGCGATATTCTACTAGAGCTTCATCAAAATGACCGACCCTTTCCCAGAAATAAGTCAGAATGGACGGCAGTATCAGTTTGACAAGTATGCGGCATATAGGGTGGATGGGATTGACTATCCAGCTCAAGATATAATACCCTTTGGATTTCGAAAAGATAGATATGAATCAGATGATGGTGGATTTAAGGGCTATGGTGATCCTAAACCTGTTAGGAAACGACCCTCACGCATTCCTAAAATAGATTATGATAAGAAATGGCTGAAGGACGATGTCGTTGAGTTTGCTAAGCCGGAAGTCTGGGTTTGTGATCCCCTTCGGGCCCTTCCTAATCAAAATTCTTTCAAATACGATACTAATTTCGAATTGCTATGCGCAGAAAGGCATAGGGATCTTAGGACGAGGGTAAGAAATAGGTTCTTATTCATGCTTCAGGCTAAAATCTGACCAAATTCCTATTTGGGTTTCCGGTTTAACATCTCAGAGCTAATTTTTGATAGGGGGCAAGGCCGCGTTGGCTTATGGAAATGGACGGGCGAAGGCAAAACTCTACCTTATACACACGTCGCCGTCAAGAATGCTCTGAACGGAAATCTCGATAAAGAAGCGACCTCACATTGGGCAGTCAACCAAGCTGGATCTTCTCACATTCTGAAACTTATCAAAGAACCAACCGTCAGGCTAGATGAAAATGACCCCGATAATAGGCTGCACGTTAGGCATTTGATAATGGAGTACTGCGTTCTAGGGGATCTGCACAAACTTATCAGTAGACGAAAGGACATGTAAGTGCAAGATCAAAAGCTAACAGATACGTCCTAATCACAAGTACGTTAAAAGGGCAAAGCCTTTTTCAGAATCGACATTGTGGCAATTTTTTGATTGCTTCATAGATGGTATTTGTATATTGGCTTACGGCCAGGAGCCAAAGTATGATGAATTGAAGAAGACGGCCACGATCCCCAAATCGAATTGGAGCCCGGTCTGTCATTTTGACTTCAAACCACTAAATAGTGAGTTGATTGTTCTCAGAACTACTTTGTTCACTGATATACTAAAACTAGCACAGTTATGCTAGGAGAAAATCAGATGACTCATCCCATGACCCCTGTGCTGAAAGTAAGTTGGTCGAGTTCTATGTAGAAGTTCTTTGCTAATAACGCAGATTGCCGACTTTGGTCTGGCTCAAACATTGACTAAGCCTAAAGTCGATAGCAAGAACTGGAGAGAACGCCGGCGAGCGGCTGGTACTCATGGATATTACACGCCCGTGAGGTTCCATTCCTACTTATCACCCCCCCCCCCCCCCCCCCTCTTCAAACGCGGACCATCCAGCTAATCTTGGATTTAGGAACAATTTACAAAGCGTTGGAACTACCTGGGCTGGGAGACCGACGGGGTCAGCGGTGTATATACCTCATCAAACATCTTTCAAATCGGCCTAATGATGTGGCAACTCGTCATGCTCTCTACGGAGAGCCCAATTCCTCCAGCGAGGGAATATTTACCAAGAAATGACATTGAAGGCTGGGTCCCTCTTGGAAAGACATATGGCCAAGATATGAGAGATGCCCCTTATAGCAGATTATTAAGGAAGACAATCTTCGAATGCCTTTACGAAAAGCCGGCACTTCGACCAGCGCTCCTTTATCTTAAAGCTCGAGCGCAAATAGGATGGCGAGCAGCGAAACTTGCAAACCCGGATATGGAACCGTGGGAATCCTTTCAGCACCCCGGACCACTGGAAGTGGAATGGGATCCAGACATCTGGGATCCCAATTTCACTAACACCAACTCAGACGATGACGCTCTAGATGATACCTATATTGATAACAGAGTCGAAAGTTCTCCTTCCAACAGTAAGAAATTCTTCACCGACATGCTTTGGGAATTAAAGGCCACCGAAGCTAGAATAAAGGATCTCCAACAAGAGCTAGCATACATGAATCCATACATTCTCCAAAAGCCCCAGAATTCTCGCGAGGGTTACTTCCAAATCCCACGCGAGCACTTAGGCTACGATCCATCGGATGATCGAGCAGAGCAAGCAAGAGCCATACAAGCAGTCAACGCCCTCTCGCAAGAATACGCAAACGGTCCACACCCAAACCCAGGCATTCCAAGCAGTATAATAGAAATCGCAAGAAAGGATAGAGGAGAAGCAAAAGCGTATTTTGAGGAGAAGCGGAAGCAACTCGAACATAAGATCTTGGGGCATTACAAAAAGGCCGTCGAGGTGAGGAAGGAACTGGGACAGAGTGTTATACCTCCGCTGATAGGCCCAGACGGAAACCCGATATTTGTGCCAGCAGTTACAGCAACAGAGTCTAGCTATTCACCAGCATCACCACGAATCGTCAAGAGTTCCAGGGCTGCTAAAACCTCCAAGCCCATTATTCCCAGATTAACCATCAAAGTCCAGCTCTCAGACAAGCGCTATAGGATCACAAACATCAAGATAAACCTCCGAGTCGACCAATTGAAACGCCTCATCCATCGGAAGTTAAAGTTGTTAAAGCAAAAGTTGGAATTTCCTATCCATCGCATGAAATTGTTGGCGAATGCGGAAGTTCCGCTTGATGACGATGCGAGGACGCTGGAGAGCTATGGGTTGCAGGAGGGTAGGTCTCATGTCATTTTGTTGGAGGAGTTGAATACTGCGAGTATTTTGAGTGTCAAGCGTTTCAATCGTTTGCGGAGGTCAAGTGGTTCGAACGGTCCGGACGGTGCAGACAGCAATCCTGAATATATATATCAAATCCCTGGGAGGCCTCATTTAACGGTATAAGAAACTGGGATTAGAATAGGCGTTTTGTTCAGCGTTTTGTTTTATATATATTACTATTATAGACCATTACTATCAAGAGTTTTGATCGCTAATTCGGCCGACGCCTTTTCTCTAGAATGAACTACTCGCATTACATGAGACTTATTATACCGATTGCTTGCATATATTACCGCTTTAATAGGTCTGCTTATCAAGTCCCCAGAAGTAGAATTCCTGAAATACAGAATTGATATCAGAGGTCAGAGATCATAAAGTATAAGCCTCTCCACGTAAGAAAAAAGTGTCGGAATAGACAAGCGAGTTTTGGTGCATCTATTCCGCCACTTTTTTCTTCGGTGGAGAGTAAGCATAGCAAACTAGCTCCTCCCTTACTTAAGCTTCTCACCAATCCCCTCCATCTCCCCCATCCATAAAACTCCCAAGTAAACTTTTTAGTTTTGTTGCAAATCGCACATTTTCCCGCTCCTCTTTTATTTTCAGCTCGCGAGAATGCCCCGATTTAAGTAACATGGGTAGCTAAGTGGGGCTGCGTGGCATCGACATCGAGGAGCACGGTCTTGCTGATGGCGATGCGTGAGGTGCGATAGGAATATTGAGGGCTTGATGCGGATGGAAGGTTTGATGGCTGTTTTTAGCGTTGGGGTATTCCGTTTAATGTTGTATAGATATGCAAGGTAGGGATAGAGGGGTTGAGAGTCAAAGATGGGTTAGTAATATACGAATTTTTGCCGGAACCATCACTTTGCCTGTTGGAGACCTAAGTTTCCTCTTGAGTTGAACTTAGTCGGTAAATTGAAAATTAAGTAGAACTTAGGAAATGAACTTTAATGAGGAAGTTACTTTATAATAACATCATCTCCACAATTGACAGCAGAAGGATAAATAACAGCAAACTCTCCGCTGCCATCACAAATTTTAAGAACCTAGAAACCACCTGAGTATACCACTTCATCGCAATATAGTAGAACAAAGTATCTATTCCTAACAAACCCCAGCTTACCTCCCTCCCTGGCAATAACAGCTTCCGTTTCTACGGCTAAAAGAAATATACAAGCGGGTTTCTAGGCCGGGGGGTGTAGTTTAATGATGTGTGTATAAATAGGATATAGGATATGGGATGTTGGGGAAAATCAAATGAGACGTAGTTATGTAGGTATAACAAAAAGCCTACAAGAAGTAAAAGGCAATCTAGACGTAGAAGGGAAAGAAGAAGACGGTCAAGGAATCAACAAGAAAAATGCCATTGCATTACTTGCCAAGGCCCTAACTATTTAAAAACATC